GGGCCGGATCATCCCTCGCCAACACCGGAGGATCTTCCTTGACAACCTCCAAATTTGCATAGCAACACTAGAGGAGTTTGATTTTAATACATCATAACAATCTCTGATTACAGACCAGCTCCAGGAGTTTTATTGTAAACATCCCGCCATAAATCTCCTTTTTTAATTCTGCTGCTGACCTTCTTCTTTTGCTTTAAATAGTGGTTGGCAAACCAACTGCATACCGCCACCACCAGGGCTGGTGGGTGGAACAGGAGATTGCTGCTGACCTGCCAGTCAGATCGACATAATGCCCCACGTTCATGTGCTGAATTGCATCTTGCGGACGCGTAGTGTTAATTTCTGGAGACGTGCACAACCTATGCTGCAAAGGAACGCAGGATACACGTGGCAGCCATCTTGCGTACACAAATGCATAGTTAAAAGCAAGTATACTGTATCTGGGGCTTAAAAATATGTTGCAGCCACTGCAACCAAAACATTTTGTACCTTCTGGTCATTTCGACTCCAAAATATGTGAAAATAGTGCCCAGGTTTATAATAATAATACCGAAATGATCCTATAAGGTCTCATTGATATTACAAGCACCTCCACATCCTCACATTTATCCAACAGCAATTAATCAGCAAACAATGTGCTAATGAAGACTACTTTTCCTCTGTGATGAATACCCTAATTAAATAGAAACATAGCACACAGTTAAAATGTGGGAATAGAGTCAAGTTATGCAAACTGCAGTACCAGAAATCAGATCAATCTGTCCTTAGAAAAGTGAATGGTTAGGCCCATATCAATCTTTTTGTCATAAATTCTAATTTCTCAGCTATGAGTCACTCAAATGAGTTGACCTCCCTGTTCTGCAACACAATAATAATTTTTAGAGCTCACTGTGTATCTATTTTTAATCAGATGCCCTAAGTTGGACCAGATGGAGTGATTGCTCTTATGTGGTTGGATGGGTGACCATTGTCTGACCCACATTTCATTCCCAGCAGCACCGAATGTAAAGACCACGAGTAATTCATTTCAGTAGATCAAGTTATGTTTTCACTGTCATGTGTTGTAATTTAAGTCTTCAGTATAGCCAACCTTTAAATATAACTGTGCAACTGAGATGGCTTGCACTAAATGTACAATGTACAGGACAATAATCTCTGCTTGTGTTTAAGGTAAAAGAACATTTAGAGTTTTTACAACTTGGGTCTTATTGACATGGTTTTTAATAGACTAGGACAAGGGCATCTGTGATGATGCAGCATACTTAGTGTTTATGCACTAGGGCTGCAGCTAATGATGATTTTAGTACTTCTATAAATTATTTCATCGATGCATCGTTTAAGAAGTACTTTAGCTGCGGCTATGAAATTCATAGTGTCATACAGCAAAAATCAGCCCAACAACCAGACAACTGCTTTACCAAGAGAAACATCACCCGAGTGCTATACAGGTTATACTAAAAGGTGCAGCTCCCCGACACCCAGTTAACTCATGAGTGTGACGTTACAACCCAAACTCACGGCCCAACAAGGACAAACGCACATGTGAACATTTCAGCTGCGGCTTACTTTGGCTAGCCTTCAACTCAACAATCAATCATGATTTCAGTTAAATTCTAAAGTTGCTGTTACCTCGTCTGTGGTCCGCTGGCAGAACACCGGGTGATTTCTGATCAGGTGCTGTCATGGTATTTAGGCAAAGAGTTTCGTTTTCGACAGACTGTGATATTACAGAGTTGTTTTCTTTTAGCTTGAAATAATCCCAGACCTTGGACACTTTCTTCTTTGTCCTTTGCTATTTTCTCTCTCTTCCTCCACTTTGCAAACAGCATCTTCATAATCACATTGTGTTCGCACAGGTAAGCGCAATGTGCGACAGTAATGTGTCCGAGCGAAACAGTGTGCTGTATAGTTATATGGATTAAACGAAGCCTTGATGCAAAGAATTTGCGTCGATGCATTTTAGTAATCAAATTAATCAATTTATTGTTTCAGCCCTATTATGCACCATTGAATTTTGTTTGTTGTATGCATCTCTACTTTCTGATTTCACACAGTAGATTAAAGCTCTGCAATGCAGTAGACCATCATTTAGCTTAGATCCTTTAACTTTAACCTCTTTAAGCATTCATTCAGATGGTTTATCTAAATTGGCATTTTAAATTTCTCTTACGTGATCCTAGTGGAGCTGGTTTCCAAAATCTCTAAATATAAGTAAAATGAACCGCCACGATGACAAAACCTATGCAAATTTGACCCAAGTTGTAAAAACCAGAAACTAAGTGTTTGTTTCTAAGTTTAAGTTTGTTTAAAAAAAAGAATCTGTTTACTGATGGTTTCATTTCATCCACAGGGGTCACCACTGTCCTAACCATGACCACCTTGAGCATCAGTGCTAGAAACTCCCTTCCTAAGGTGGCCTATGCCACAGCCATGGACTGGTTCATGGCTGTGTGCTATGCCTTTGTCTTCTCTGCCTTGATTGAGTTTGCCACAGTCAACTACTTCACCAAGCGCAGCTGGGCATGGGATGGGAAAAAAGAGGGCATGGAAATAAGGGTGAGTGATTCTTATTTACTTTTTTTTAATGAATGGATATGACACGCCTGCACTCTGGTGCTGCACCAACGTTGATGATCACAAACATGTCATCCTAAAAAACAAAAAGCAACACCGTTTTTCAGAAAGGAGTCTCTCTCTGCTCTTTCTGCTTATTAAACTTCAGATAAATTATTCCTGGTCTTTTGATTCGATAACCTAGTTAAAAATTCTACAAGTTGCTCAGTAAGTCCTCATCTTACACTGGAGGAGCGATGAGGGCAAATTGCACTTTGGAAACACTGATAGAAAGTTCCCTCCTTAAAGCGGCCAGGAGTACTTTATAAAGACTATACAGAGAGATTTTATTTATTCATTAACAGCCAAATGGAACAGGGACAGCGGGGCGGAACAGTGAGAGCAGAAGCAGAGGTAAACTCCCAGAGACACTGGCCCTGATTTATGACGGCAGCATATGTTCAAAACTCATCCTACAGTCAGTGTAGGCTCATTCTCCCCAGAAAAGATGGCTTCCTTAGATCTAGTCTGCATATTATAGACACACTGATTAAAAAGTGTGTGTGCATTATTTACAGCAAAGCACCTGAGGCTGACATTTTTATTTTAAGCATGAAATCTTATAAAACACAGCTTAAAAATCTTTAATTTGTCAATAGTCTGGGCTGTTTGTGTGTTCATGAGGATATAGGACAGTGTGTGAGTTCACCTCAAGGTAGGAAAGTACTGAGCATTTTAATCACAGAGTCGTTTTTTGTGTGTTGATTATTTGGATAATACAGGGGTCTTAACAAGATGCTTTTCTCTGAAGGACTCACATAAATTAAACTTGATAAGTTCCTCATGATAACCCCAGCGCCTAAATTTACCATGATTTCTGTGATGTTTTATAGCTGATCACATCAAATGAAATTGATTAGAGCCATGAGTCGGGAAGCAATGAGGGAAATTAAAGCACTTGGTTCTGAGCTGAACGTATGAAACACAAATTCACTTTGGATTGCTTCAAAGAGGCACATTTGTTCCAGTAATGAAAGGAACATATGAATTATTTTCTAATTTACGAATGGCTCAAATGATTGATAGAATAAGGTGTTTGATTGACAGTGCAGAGAAGTAGAAAATGGACTTTTCCTCCTCTCACAAATATATATATTTACACCTATGAAATAATAATTATTAATAATTGTTTGCCCCTATGTTTTTTTTTTTAAATCAGTTACTTTAGTAGATCCTCACATGGTGCTGAAAAGATGTCAAAGAATAGCATAAAATAAGATTTTGTGTACAATATGCATGTGGGGTTTACAAAGTCACGCTGACTACTGAGAGCGAAAACCACCATAGATATGCATTTTGGATGTTAGAAACAGAAGTGCAAGAAAATGTATTCTGTCATTACTTTGCTTTATATTGAACTACTTGCTTTTCTTTTCCTTTTATTCTGAGTTTGTAAACTCATGTTTAAGAGAAACCTGGTCATGACAGCAGCACAAAAAAAAGCGTTAAAACAAACAAAGAAAAGCTCAAAGATAACATAGGCCAGGCTATGGCAAATTACTAATTGTACAGCTAAATTAAGTATAATGAATCTATTCCTGAAGCATTTTTATTTTCTAAATGGATCAGCACATATGAACAGTGGCACTTTACAAAAGAAGTAAAACTACATTAAAAGGGTGGCCTCCTGCATTTTGTGTTGTCAAATCACATTTGAAACATTAGGAAACTGTCCTAGTAATAAACAGTGGCTAGGTAGCAGTTGTTATTAAAGTGCTGCTGGCACATAAAATGCTGGAATATTTCTATCAGCCACAAACACAACATAGGGAGAAATACATTTCTTCTACTGCGACAGACAGGGCCCTGAATCTATTTTCTGCTACTAATGTACAAACTGTTTGACACAATCAGTACAGCCTTTCCAGTTTTTTATAGCCTGACATTTGGTCCTCTGAGTGATTGGCAGAAATGCATATTTTGCTGCCACAGAACTTTTCAGTCGGTGAGGATAATTTGCAGCGTTACATTGCAGCAGGGCGGAGGATTTCTCTCTCTTTTTCAATTTTTTTCCCTCTCTCTCTCTCTCTCTCTCTCCCCTTTTGATGCCTCATCTTAATGGCAACAGCCTGGGCTACGTTCTCGGGGGCTGTGCTGAGCATGCAGTTGTCATGATAGATAAAAAAGAATGGGGTCACAGAGGGAGACGTGACACTCCCATAACACTCCCTGCTAGAATGAACTACTGGAAAGCAGACTACACATGCTTATTCCCCTTTTAATATACTGACATATAAGATAAAAAGGCACCTATAGGAAGAGAACATATAACAAAAAGAGTATTTCCCTTTTTAGCTCAGGAAGTCCTTTTGAAAAAACCATCCCTCAGTCATCAGAGGCTGGGTTTCAGCCACCACTCTTACTGGAACCAAACGATGACTTCATCGCCCCCAGGCTCCATCTTTTTTAGGACTGAAATGGTGAGCTGTAGACGAGTCAACGAGCACTAAATTTACTTTGCTGATTATGGAGCTTCTGCGCCATTTTCTTTTTTTTTGTCACCTAAGATTCTGTTTGACAGGCGATCTACCTAATTATCTCTCCCCTCGCTCGCTAAAGGTGTGCTTATTACAGAAATGAGCAGGTAGGGAGTTTGGGTGGACTGAAAGCTTGCATATTCTTGCCACTCTGTGACACATGATTGGACACCACAGTGTTAGATATGTGCTGGTTTCATCAGCAGACGCAGGAGCACTGGCTCATTGTGCTGTGGGCTTCACTGCTGGAACTCAAGTGACTACGTTTACTGACATTTTAACACAATGGTTTTAGAAAACCGAGGAGCCACAGCCTGTCATCATCGTCATCAATCCCTAGGCGTCACATTTCAGCACCACACTGCTACCAACTTTACTGAGCAGGGAAGTTGCTAAGTTTTTGTTTTGTAGCTACAATATGGAAATTTGGTGTACTCCAGGGGAACAGAACCAAGCTTCTTCTGACTGCCATCACTACAAACAAAGTCCTTATAGGCAAGTCATGCCACTCGGCCGTCATCTTGGCAACGCCTCCGGGCAGCTATTTCGGACCAACAAGACCAGCTCCTATCTGAATGAATGGGGAGAGAGCCAGAACTGCCCTTTCACAGGTCACCGGGACATAAAACTACATGAATAGAAGAGCAGTAAAATAAGGTTTAAAAAGCATTTTTCCCGACCGGTTATACTTCTACTACGCATGCGTCACCTCTTCCATGCATGCGCAGTAAAAGTAAAACAGACCCTTAGGTCAGTGGAACCACACGATTGGCTGAAATATGTTTCCCGCTTTGGCTGTTAAAAGCAGACAATTGGCTTTCTAGCGGGAGGGACGGAATAACCCGTCGGGGCCCCCCCCGGGCTTTCCCCATAGTTGTATTGAGGACGTGACTGAGTGGCATTTCTGCTCTAAAATGTCTCTGCTACAAATGAATTTGTAATATAGCAAGATGGAGTGGTTATATTGGATTAAAAATCCTAAACCTTTTATTGCATATTAGCACCCTGGATGCAGGGATTTAGTCTGTTCAGTGTTGCAGTATAACAAGTGAAAAAGAAACACAGGAACAAGTAAAAGGAAATAATAAGTGTTGGGAGGAACCAGTGTTTGCTTTGATTTGGAATGACAAAGCCTGTTTATTACTAAAAAAAAAAACAAAAGCATGCGCGCATGCGCGTACACACACACACACACACACACACTTTGGCTCCCTAAACACAGTCTGCACCCTCATACACCCAAATGCTCACATACTTGAAGCTATTAAATATGCCAACACCTCATCTCCAATCTTAGACAGGGACAGGCTGTCACAAGGTTCAGTTACCCGCACACATGCACACACTGAGCTCCAAACAGCAAGACACAGCGCGGCACAATTACCCCGAGGATACTTATACACTCATAAAGAAATTCTGATGCAACAATTTGCAGAAGTTACACAGGCAAGGTCAGTAGATGCATTGTATTCAGGGGGTATTTGTTCCTGCAGCTAGCTAAATGACTTGTGCAAGAATCTTTGGCTGGAAGCAAATTATGTGCTGTGTCACATCGTGTTCATAAAAACATGCACACAGCCCAACGCCACATATGGTTTCCTCAATAATTAGACTATATAAATTACTGCAGAGGCCAGCCAAGCCAAATAGCGACAGAAAATTACTTTGCTTGGCTCGTTTGGCAGGTTACTGTGCAAAGAACATCCTTAATGCCAAGGACTGAAGAGTTTAGGGGGCTATGATTAAGGTCATGAGGCACATTATAGTAGTCTTCGCCTTTCCTGCTGATGTAAGCCATCGCTGTGATAGAGGAGGCTCATGGTGGTGTTAGATGTGGAGGAATCGATATCCTGGGAAAGTATCTGGTTATCCAGGGGCATGAGTGCGACTCTTTCTCTCCCTGTATTAATTGACTTGAAATAGACCCCTTCAGGCAGTGGCTCTTCAGTTTAATGCAATCAGCTTTGTGAGTTCTCCACAAACGTTGCTGTTTTTGAGAAGTTTGAATGATCGTTCCCGCATGTTGTCCTGCTCACTTGAGGAGCAAACATTGATCACGCTGTACATGTTTCCTCCTCAATCCCGCTGCTTCCATCACTTCGGAAAGAATGACCTAACATCTTTGTGCTCCCTACTGCGCATATTATTCCACTGCTTGTCACATTTGACATTAAGTGGTCTCCTTGTGCATAATAGTGACAAGATGGGCTAGTTCAGACCCTGAACAAACAGAGCACATGTCTCCTCACATGTAAAACCATTTTTCTGCCTCCATTTGTGAGTGCTTGTGAAAATTGAGGATAAAGACCAAACAAAACAGTCGGCGATGAGCTCTGTGCAGAAAGAGATCCACCGTGAAGCATTTTGTAGGAGTGGAAAGAGGGGACATTAGTTATGCTAATTTAAAAAGATGGGAGTCAAAGAAAAAGGAAGGAAAATTAAATGAAGCTGAAAAAGTAGAGCACAAATTAAAGCTGGGCTCAAAGCTAAAGCAAAAACAGTGAGCACTGAAAGTGAAACACTGTGACATAACCAACATCGCTTAGGTTTTGCTGCGGATCTTATAAAAGTGGCCACAGTAGGGATGAAGGGTGTGAAGAAGACTTGTTCTCTCACATTTAGCATTCACTGTACTCTTTTAAGCAGAGTTTAGCTATGTGAGTGTACCAATTTAGCAAATAAAACCCTGTCTCCCTGTGCGAATTCAATATGAAAGACAGTAATGATGTCTCTCTAGTTGTAGGAAGAAGGCAGTTTCTCCAGCCAGCTTGATCACGCTCAGCCTTTGTCGTGTTTGTTTTATCGCAAGCTGTTTGCCTGAAAGGCCCGGCTGCTCTCATTGATACAGTTTGTCAGACATGTTTTCGGGCACTGTTATTTTGCTTTGTTTCTAATCCTGCTCTGTGCTGCTACTGTTAGCAGTATCAGATGCCAGTCCGGCCTGGTTCTGCAGTGATGCAAAATATAAACTGTTCCTAATTCCGCACTCTTAATTTTAGCAGCCTGATCATTTTGTCATGAATTTTTATCATGACCTTTTTTTTTTCTGCAATCCAGATTTGTATGATGCAGATTTTAATTGACAATATTTATAGTGTAAAATGTTCAAAAGTACTTCCAGCTAGATACTGATGAATAGAGTATGTAAGTTGGGTAATTTTAATATAATTGGTAAACTTTTTTTCTTTTCTACTTTTCTTTTCAGGAACCGTTTCAGGCTAACATGGCCAGGATTAAAGATATGGTTAGGCTTTTGTTTTGTTCTTGTGTGTGTCGTGTCTCGTGGTGTTGCTTCTATTTCCTCTTTATGAGTTCAAATGGAAGTATTGTTGAGTCTGGTGCTTCGCTCCTGACAACCTTTACTTTACTGCCTTCTTCCTTTTCAGAGAAGAGAATCTGCGACTCTGTCCAAAAAGGCAAACAACACCTTCAACATTGTTGGAACCACCTACGCCATCAACGTAGCGAAAGACCAAGGTTTGACGACCATTTCCAAGAGTGCCCCCGGAGCATCGGCTAAACACCCCTATCTCCATAAAATGGACGACCCCTACATGGAGGCCAGGAAGTCTTACAACCGTGTCAGCAAAGTGGACAAGATATCGCGCATCATTTTCCCAGTTCTGTTCTTCATCTTCAACTTAGGCTACTGGGCCACATATGTCAACAGAAAGCCCGCTATCATGAAGGCAAACAACCTAAACTGAATTTGACCAAATGCTAAGCTTGATCTGGTTTGGAAGGTAGAACGGTTTGCAGGAGGCCAAGTCCACCACATCTTAGAGAGTGTGTGTGTGTGTGTGTGTGTGTGTGTGTGTGTGTGTGTTTCATGTGTCTGTCCTTCCTTGACAGTTTGATATTTTGCACGTCTGTGTAGATGGATGGCAAATTTTAACATACAGTAGATTCATCTATAATAGCGGATCTTGGAGGGAGCACATTCTCACATCAGACTGTGTTTGTGTAGCGTTTTCTTTTCACCCCCCTGCACACTTAGCTCTGGCCCTGTTCCCTGTTGTGAGTATCCAAGTGTTCCTTTGCTGTATCTTGATGCTTGCGGTTTTGTAGAGTAGTCAAAATGTGTTTTCACTATGTTTTGACATGTTTGCGCTTTGCTTGTAATAAGTTAGAGCAAGCATGCCTTTGAAGTTGTCATTGTAGCTCATTACCAATGATAAGGTTCTGACACATCCATCGAGTTAACAACATGCATGCACGCACGCACGCACACACACAGAGACACACAGTGATGCATCAAAAAATGCCAGAAGAGCCATTCCTAGGTTGCTTTACTGTGCTCCGTTAACCGGGGGCAGCCTGTATAGTTCCATAGGAACATCGTTAATAAAAGTCGCTGTCTGGCCTTTAGCTCACGCTGAATCTCAGCAGACCCAATGCAGTATCAACTGGAATTGTTTTCGCGTCCCGTGTGGCTGCCTGTACATTTTCTAGTCCAGTGGCTCTTGTTGTTTTAACTGGCTGAGTATGTTCATCAACAGAGAAGCTATGTGCCTTGGTGAATACAAACATGATAAAGAAAAAGGCTTTGACACCCTCACACTTGCATTAACAGCACGCATATGCACAGTGGTCAGTGTGCATTTTACATGCAAACTGGTGTCCACAGGCTGCATGCGCTGCAGTATGTGGCTATGCCCCCACCCACGGCCCATGGGCATGGGCACCGAGTGTAAAATTGCCCATTAGTTTAGAAGGTTAGCAGACCTCTGCCTGTGAAAAGATGAAACAAAGAGATTAAAGGATCCAGCGTAGTCCAGAACAATTATTATGTGCATTTATGTTTTGGCTCATGGTGTGGCGTCTCCATGACCCGAGCAGTCAAAACAAACTACCACCATTACCTCAGACTGAAGTTGAATTCTGAATTACATTTTCCATGGAAATGCAAATAACACTAGATGTTTTATACATTACGTAACACCAGACACTCGTTCTTTCAGTATATCATGGGCAGGCACCCTGGTGCCTTTATTTCTTTTTTTTTGTTTTTTGTTTTTGCATCAGTCAGTGTAGCTGTTTTTAGCTCCGTTATGAGTTTTCTGCCTTTCTGCCTCGTCATAAGCAAGATTTAGATTCATGTTGTACTTTTGCCCTTTTATACTTTATTGTGTAAAGTATAGTGGTGTTGATTTGATTGTCTACATATGCTGTACCGTTTTGTGTTTTAAAGTAGACAACAAAAGCCATTTTGTCACAGTCATACAGTTTTTCTAAACAAATGTTGGAAGCACTGAATCGTCACTGAAGACTATTATACTGCAACATGCTGTCAAATCAGTAAAACAATAAATATTAACTGATTTCTCCAGCAGTGAAATAATAAATTAAATGTAATCGTTGTGATCACACTCAAGAACAAACTAATGGTAAAGCTGATTATCTTTCCAACAAGTTAGTGATGTTTTGCAAATCAGATTAGTCTCCAGCTGTGGCAACTGTCTCCAACTTTTGTTTTCCGTTTGTTAAAAGACATCTGTATTTTTTTTTATGTGTGGAATTTGGTTCGTGTTTATACAGATGCTATATGATTCTAAAGCAGTTTCTGTTGCTTTTTTGCTGGATGCACTCTGGATATTTTGCATTATCTTAATTCTAGACTTTTTGATGAAAACTGGGCTCCCAACATGCAGTGCATATCTTCAAAATGTATCTTCAGTGGTTAAGCATAGGAGAATGAGTGAACTGTGTCGTGGCCTCTTTAAAAAGGTGTGTTAGTAACACAAACCATGTACAATGTATCAGTCATATGTTAATGCATGACAATCTGTACACGTGTATGTCTGCAATCTCCAATAATGGTGTGTTTCACACTAAAATAGGGCTTAGTATCAATGTTTCTGTAGTTCATCCCATCTACTCATCAATTACCTACTCATACCCCCAGCAACATTTGCATAAACACACTTAAACTCCAATTATTTGTGCATATTGATGTGATGATAACAATTTACATTTGGCACAGAGTTCTGAAAGTGTTTTTACCCTCATTTGGAGCGCACAGATTTTAGGGTAAATTCAGTGTAACACACACAAACACACACACAGAGCCGGCTCTTCATCCATTTCCGTTACAAATGTTACAATACAAAATGTCTATGAAGATTTTCAGTCATCCAGGTCATAGTTATCCAACGAAGGTTAAAATGAAGGGCAACTGGACTTGGTTGAAGCTACTGGAAGACGTTTCGTCCCTTATCCAAAGGACTTCTTCAGTTCTGACTGACTGGCAGGGAAACTCAGCTATTTAACCTCAGTGGGGTCGTTGGCCCGGGTCATCTATACCGCTGGTTCGTTAGTGTTCCTTGTTGCTGTGACGACAGTCGTTACAGTCGTTGAGACTACCTGTGGCCAAGACTGAACGACCATCGTTGGTATCTTCACCTGAGGCCAATAGGTTACGTTTGTTGAGTTTCCTGGGAAGTGATGAAAGGACAGCATTGTAAGTGGGGGATAAGTGGTGGCGTAGACCCCCTCCCCTGTTCAATGATGGCTTCTCAACCCTGGTGTAGATGGCTTCCTTGACACCTCTTTCAAACCATCCATCTTCTCTGTCTAAAATGTGCACCTGGTGGTCCTCAAACGAGTGTCCTCTGTCCTTCAGATGTAAGTAGACTGCAGAGTCTTGACCTGAGGAGTTGGCCCTTCTGTGTTGAGCCATGCGTTTGTGTAGTGGTTGTTTAGTCTCCCCAATATACAGGTCTGTGCATTCCTCACTGCATTGGACCGCATACACTAGATTGCTTTTCTTGTGTTTGAGTGTGCGGTCTTTGGGGTGGACCAGCATCTGTCTTAGTGTGTTCTTGGGTTTAAAAAACACAGGGATGTTATGTTTGTTATGTTTGTACCTACATCCTCAGGTCAAGACTCTGCTGTCTACTTACATCTGAAGGACAGAGGACACTCGTTTGAGGACCACCAGGTGCACATTTTAGACAGAGAAGATGGATGGTTTGAAAGAGGTGTCAAAGAAGCCATCTACACCAGGGTTGAGAAGCCGTCATTGAACAGGGGAGGGGGTCTACGCCACCACTTATCCCCCACTTACAATGCTGTCCTTTCATCACTTCCCAGGAAACTCAACAAACGTAACCTATTGGCCTCAGGTGAAGATACCAACGATGGTCGTTCAGTCTTGGCCACAGGTAGTCTCAACGACTGTAACGACTGTCGTCACAGCAACAAGGAACACTAACGAACCAGCGGTATCGATGACCCGGGATAACGACCCCACTGAGGTTAAATAGCTGAGTTCCCTGCCAGTCAGTCAGAACTGAAGAAGTCCTTTGGATGAGGGACGAAACGTCTTCCAGTATCTTCAACCAAGTCCAGTTGCCCTTGATTTTAACCTTCGTTGGATACAATACAAAATGTGGAAAAGGGAAGTCAGCTTGTATACATGCATGAAGATGCTTGGCCAAAATAACTACAAATCTTAATTTAGTTTCCACCTTGGAAAATACATTTAGATCTAGGACTGAACAATTAATCAAAATCTTATTGAAATCGGAATATGGCAACCCGTAGTTTTCGAATCACAGGAGGCGCAATATTTGTTAAAAGCCGTGTGTGTGTCAAAATACCATTTTAAAGTATATATTGTCACGCAGCAGAGATGTCCTGACCTACATATCTAAGAACCTTTGGTACAGATCCTTGTTTTTAAATGCAAAAATGATCTTTTACTCCCAAGATCTCAAATCATATCACAACTGCAATATCAGTAAAAATAATCACAATTACATATTTTTTCAAACTTTAGATCACATTTCAAATGAGTAATCCAGGTTCAGCACAGATATAACAAAATAAAGGATAATTACTGTTTTGTTGTTCCCTATTGTTCAAGCTTAAAAGTTGTGATAGGTGGCAACAGTCTCACCAACTCAACTCTTGCAGTGATTTAAAAAGAAAATTTCAATTGTTGTTAATTAGACACTACCACCAATCAAAACACGTGTCAAAGGTTTTCATCCCACACAAGCATGTGGACCATAGAGACCTTTGAGGACACATTGTTGTTCATTACAGACATCCAGAGACTTGCAACACAAATGGAACAGCATTATTTTTCTCCTTGTAAACCATTTTTAGATTCAAAACAATAAACACATTATTTTCTCAGACAAGAACTTGGCCGACATGATAAAAATACTATAAACTCTGGATGAGATTCGTGAGGACCTGGTAAATTTTGTGTGTCACGTTAAATTACAAACCAGTGTTTGTCAATGTTTAATACTTCCACATATTGTTCAAAACCACAATCAGAGTATGGTTTACTGTGAGACACCACGTCTCACCACGACTTGATTTTTATCATTTTGTCTCAAACAAACTGATTCTTGATACACATCTGCTGAGGGTGTTTAAAGCCTGCTGGCGGCAGCTAATTCCGGATCTAATGACACAGAGCCCTAATGTTTATGCATGATTCCTCTGAGTAATGAGATCGAGGTACTGAAGGTAGTTATGAGAAGCAGCAGTCGAAAAGTATTTCAGTTGCGTTTGTGAAACAATTTGCCTCAAATACAGTCGTCCCCTGAGTGACACAACGCATAAATCTTGTAAAATGCGGTGACCAAAGATGCTTTCACATGGCAAGTTCATGCGTGTTCGGACTAAAATAATCCATTTTAATCCCATCCACATTGAAAAAGGACTTTTATGAGTAACTCGTAAAAATCTATCAATACTTCAACAGATTTATACAATTCTTGACAAGATAGCGATGTGCCCCATAAATGTATATGACCAAAATATTTATAGAAAGACACATCATTTGTTTGATCCATTTCATCTGTGGTATTACTCTGGAATGTAATCTATACTTTATCATTCATAATCTCATTATATAAGTCATTATACTGTA